ATAATCCACAGTGACCAGTCTTTATTCGTCATCAGTGCGTGCACAATGTAAGAATCTGTAGTTTTGCATTCAACATGGCTCCTCTGTTTCTACACAGAGTTCCACAAGCCCTTCGGCATCGATGTCTTTGAGGACTACATCTACGGCGTCACCTACATTAACAACCAGGTCTTCCGAGTGAATAAGTTTGGCAAAGGCCCCATTGAGAACCTGACGACCGGATTGAACCACGCCTCAGACATCGCCCTGTACCACCGCTACAAGCAGCCTGAGAGTCAGTAGAAATCAGACAGATCTCTCATCAGCAGTAATGCTCACTGAAACTAAGGCAGTGAAGATGAGATGACAAAGGCAGAGAGTTATTTTTTTCTAATACCAGTTCTCTTCCTGTCTTTGCCAGTAACCAATCCCTGCGACAAGAAGAAATGTGAATGGCTGTGTCTGCTGAGCCCCAGTGGACCAGTGTGCATCTGTCCCAATGGACGCACGTTGGACAACGGCACATGTCTGGAGCTGCCCACTCCCACTCAGTCTCCTATCTGTGAGCAAGCACACCCTCCCACATCTATAACACACACATACCGGCAGCTGGACTTATTCTGTATGACTGAAAAACGTCCTTGTCTGCAGCTCCTCCCAGCGGTCCCTGCTTGGTCCAGTGTATGAACGGGGGAAGCTGCTTCCTGAATGCCCACAAGCAGCCCAAGTGTCACTGCCAACCTAATTATGGAGGAGATCGGTGTCAGATTGACTTGTGCAGGGATTACTGCAAGAATGGAGGCACATGCACACCTTCCCCTACGGGTAGGATATGGACCTTTCAAGCTGGCTCTGGCCAAAAATGTTTTGCGATAACTTTCTTTTGTTCAATGTAAAGTTTAAATACCGCTACATAGACTAAAGTATGGCTTTACCTACCACATGAATGTTTTCCCTAGTCCAGTAATACGATTCTTTCTTTCTCATCATCCGTGTTTCGCCTTCCCTTTATTTATCCCATCATATATGGTTCCTTCCACAGGTTCTCCTACCTGTCGATGCCCCACAGGCTTTACCGGGCCAAACTGTAACCTCCACACCTGTAAGGATTACTGCAAGAATGGAGGCAACTGTACAGTCAGCGCTGGAAACCAGCCGACCTGCAGCTGCCCCCTGTCCCTCCTGGGTGACCGGTGCCAGTACAGTGAGTGTTCCTACTATCTAACCAGCATGCAAGTTCAAAAATGTTTTTTGCCTTCGGAGTGTCTTGTAAGAGATTGCGATGTGTTTGGTTAGCAGTGCACTAACGTGTTTATGTGTGTGTGAGCAGGAAGCTGTGAAGGCCACTGCCTGAACGAAGGCACGTGTCTGGAGAGTGAAAGCGGCTCAAAGCTGTGCCGCTGTCTGCCTCAGTACACCGGCAGCACTTGTGAGATTGACAAGTGTCACTATTGTCGCGACGGCGAGTGTATCCCCAGCAACGCCTTCACGTCTACCGGCGACTTCACCTGCCGGTAAGACATGAAATGTACTCAACATAAACAGACGCACAAAGAAACTTGAAACAAAACGTGCAAAGGTGTCTTTTTCATTCACAATATGTTCTGTCTTCCACAGCTGCTCAAATGGAAGAGTCCAGCCCAGCTGTTACACATGTGATACGAATGAGTACTGTGCAACTGGCCAGTGCTCTATTAACCCCGTCAGCCGCCTTCCAGAGTGCAGGTAAGGAGCAGAGATATCCCGGGGATACATGCAGTGAGTGCATGCGTCCATTTCCTCACTTCTTGTGTGTTTGTAGATGTTCCCCTGGCTGGACGGGGTATCGCTGTGAGTCCGTAGCCACCAGGGACGATTCCTCAAGTTCAGGTGGACGTGAGTCAATACTCCTCATTACGTCAATAGTTAATTGCATGTGATCCAATTCTCCATGCACTATTCTTATGTGTGTGTGTGTGTGTCTGTGACCGTAGGGACAGCCTCCATAGTGATCCCTGTGGTGCTGCTGTTGCTGCTGGTCCTGCTGGCTGCAGGAACGTTGATCTGGTATCGAAGGAGGATGAGAGGGTGAGTGACACTTTTCATTTTAAAACAAGAGACAGTTGAGACCTTTTGTTGACTTCTCCATCCTTCTCTATTTCTTCCTCTTCTCTCCTTTTCCTTTGTTCCTCCTGCACTTGTCTTCTCTTCTCCGTAACGGCCTCTCTTCTGCTCTTCAGGTCTAGCCGGCACAACAAAACCGGCTCCAGGCGCTTGCGGTAACGGTTGCGAGGGTTATACGTTCCTTGCATACCCTCATTCAGTTCTGCATCCTGATGCTTTCTCTTTCTCTCTCCATCCTTTACCCATAAGCCTTGGTTGCTGTGCAGTGTTTGGTCCCGTGTTGAATGCCGCGCCGTTCTCTCAGATGTTCATGGGCGCTAGCGCTCATCCCGCTCCTACAGTACCTCTCCTGTATGATTGCCCTCTTCAGAGCGGCCGAAGGGCAGATCTATTGAAACGATGCATTGAATAGATCTGTTCATGCACCAACCAGTGCTGTAGGGCCGTCATGCCGTTGTCCATCATACTGTGCCGTATTGTACTTACTGTGCTGTGCTGTGGTTTGTTTGGTGGTAGTGTCTCTCGTAGTGAGAAATCACAGGCATTTTTTTTGACTCAGTTTGGAAAATGCAGTATACAATCCAGCATTTACATAGATGTAGATACCATAGACAATACAGCCATCCATAGCATATTTAAGAGGATTCAATGTAGACCTATTGTTGCTTTAAAAGATCTGTACATCAGCAGTCCTTTAACCACGTCAGGATCTGTCATGGGCTACATAAATGCTGGGTTTGTGTTGGTGCTGTGGCTTAGTTCCCTCGGCCTGTGTGGTGGTCAGAGCCATGTGATCCCTCTTCTCTCTCTTCATAATGTGTCTCCCTGCTTGCACTGTGTAGGCTTTAATAACCTTGAATAAGACACGGAGGTTTGACTGTGTCCTTAATATGTTGTGTAGGGCAAAGGGCTTCCAGCACCAAAGGATGACCAATGGGGCCATGAATGTGGAGATAGGAAACCCTGCCTACAAGATCTACGAGGGAGAGCCGGACGACGACGCCGGGGAGCTGCTGGACGCAGACTTCGCCCTGGACCCAGACAAGGTAGAAAGCTAAAAAACTAGACATGCATTCATACAAACACACACACAGACACAAATGGTGTAGCCTCTGCTCGTACTGCATGTGTTGCATCTAATGGACGGCCCCTTTTCAGCCCACCAACTTCACAAACCCAGTGTATGCCACTCTGTACATGGGAGCACACAACAGCCGCAACTCTCTGGCCAGCACAGATGAGAAGAAGGAGTTGCTATCACGTGGAGATGAGGAGCCCCTCGTGGACCCGCTGACATAGACTGTGCATTGGCGTGCATCACAATATCCCAAACACCCCCCTCTTTTGGCCTTTTAAAGAAAAGAAAATGGAGAAAAAAAAGTGTGAGAGAAAATTGATTCCAAAAATTGTGAACACTGTATAAAATGTACAAAAATGAAGGACTACTTTTGTATGTGATTGCAGTATTATATTTTGTTCTTTTGAGATTCCTCTGGTCAAAAATGAATTAACATTTTCTATAAGAGATTTTTAATTTACACTTTGTCCCTTACCCTTTACCTAAATAGCCACTACCTCTGTGCAAAATGAAATGGAAACAAGAAAATCTGGAGAAAAGCTATCATTTGGAGCTATTTTAATTTTTTTATTTTTGTATGAATTGTATAGAAAAGAAAAAACAATTGTTCCATTTCACCAGTGCCAACTGTTTGTTTGTGTTGACTTTGAGCGGGAAAGGCAAAACTCAAAAGTTTTCTAAATCGGTACATATGTTGTCTTGCTGGAGAGTTGTGATAGCACCGTTTGTGTACAGCACATGGAAGATGTCAACACCAGATGGCAACTACACTATTTCCACATAACTTTTTTCAGAGAACAATATTCATGAAATGATTGTGTTGTCTTCCTTGCACAGAAATCATACCTTACGGCATAGTGTATACTGTAGGCTTTATACCGTACAATGTAAAACAGGTATGTGTGTTTTTATTACGTTGAATGACAGTTTATTGCTCAAGCGAGAGGGTGAGATTTGTTTTTGGTGTGTGATTGTTGAGTTGAAGAGCGAGAAAGTTGGTCATGGGTCAAACATTCCAGCCGCGGTGGTCGGAGATTACAGATGTAAAGACAGTCTTCCTTCACAAGGAAAGGGAGGCTGCAATTAAGAGTGAAATCTAAAAAAAACATGTTCCTTTGTCTTTTTTTTTCTGTCCATATATCATCACTTTGGCTTTGTGAGTAGATTTGTTTAGCTTCTTTTAAGAAGATCAAAGTCTGTACGGTCACAGTTTTGTAATGGCTCAGTCTCAAAGTGCATTATGTTCATTCGGTCTTCAGCATTTGTCTGCTCTTCTTGAACTCTTTCTAATCTCTCGCTCTCTCCTCTGTGCCCTGCTGCTGCTAATGCTGCCATTCTGGTCGCTCTGACACGTCCTTGCGCTCAGCCTTTCGTCGCGAAATTCTGCAGTCTGACAGAAATGTGTCGGCCATGTTAATGCACGTTAAAAATAACACCTATCTTTAATGTAACTACAATAACTTTTTATTTTGCTTTCCTGTCAGCAAGTGATATTTTACGCTGTTGTATGTTTTGACTTTATTTGAGAAAGAAGTACAATCATTTTACCTAAAGAACATTTTTGCAAAATCATACATGCATTTTCAGAATCGTTTGTGATTAGTCCTTGTTTTTTTTCTAATGGAAAATAGCTTTTATAGTACACGATGCATGGAGGCTCAGACTTTCTTCTGGAAAGAAATAATGTTTAATTTTTGCTGCAGTACTTTACAAACTAAATAACAGATATTGTTATAAATAAAAATTTAAAAACAATTGTACAGAAAACAAGTGAAATGTGTGCTGAGTTTTTTTCTCAACAAATGCCAAAATAGTGATGAATACAATGAGTCCGTTTGGGTTGGTTTAATCATTTATTGCAAATTGTAAATCAGATCGCGTACTGTAGTCATAAAGTTAAATTTATATAATCAAATGTCATCTTGTTCTGTTATATATTATCGATCAACTAAATAATGAGAAATCCTTCATTAAAGAAAGTTAGGTTTCATAAGGGAAGGTAATACATTCTACTAAACGATAAACTTTTCAGATGCAAATGCTGTCTGACACACCTCAAAGCCACCCATACTGATCATATGAAAAATTAAGAGACAGAAACAAATTCAATAATATGTGCATTACAGTAATTGCTTGTTCTACATGATCATATACATTTTTTTTTTTGTATGAAAACATCTCTCCTTTACTTTCCCTGGAAGTCGTCACTTGATGCCTTTGGCCTTCAGTTCCTCTTTGACTCTGCTCAGGTAGCCAGGATCAGGGTACCCAAACCTGTGGAAGCAGAGTGGAAGCAGAGCAAAGTGTTAATACACACAGTTGTTAGCATTTCAACAGGATTTACATTTAAAATATTTACATTAAAAAGAAGGAAGAGATTTGGCTACTGTACCTCTCTGGTCCCCCAGTAATAGAGGTTTTGTGGTGAATATCGTTCCAGGTCACTTGATTGTCCATCCCAGTCGTTACGGACGTCCCAATAGTGAAAATGAGCTTCTGGTCAAACGCTTTCTTTAACAGGTGCAGCACTTCTTTGCCCTCTTGGTTATTTGGCAGATATGCGGTTCTTTGAATACCTTCAAAACGCTTCCCAGGATTTGAATGCTTCTTCTGCAGAGGGAAATTTAAAAAAAGGTCAAAATAACTGACATCCATATTAGAAATAAAACTTGCCAAATTGAATGAAGTCATTTACCGTCTGTACTCCACCGAATATATTATAGTGGATGATTATACTGCCACAGTTTTTGAATCCAGGGACGTTATCGGGACATGAAGTCCACGTCATATTCCCTGGTGGCTGCATTCCCTCCATCAGACCGAAGACGTCTTTGCAAACCGGACAGATGGGTCCCATGCTCATGGTTGATCTATCCAGGCATTCTTTACAAAATTCATGTTTACACCTGAGCTGCTTCTTATTATTAAATGTATCTTTGCATATAGGACACTCTTTGTCTTCTGCTGAGTTGCCTGCTGTTGCTCCGCCTTCTGCGGGTGCTTCAGTGTTGTATCCCGACTGTCCATTGAACCCACGTCCACCGGAGGCTTCGTCCGACTCAGAGTCAGTCCGTCCAATGGCACCCGGTTGTCGGGCATAGTTCATAGGTGATGTTGCAGTCTTCTGGTACAGATGAAGAAGAGCCCTGACAGCGTGGCTCTCCATTGACATGTTTCCTCCAGATTTTTTGTAGTAGCAAGTTTTGACTTTGACTTTGCCCGGTTGGGTAAACGATTCTTTAAAGTCCACACCGAACTTAGTTTTGATATCAGCCAATTTATTGCTGAAGGAAATGGTTATCAGTTTCCAGTAGCTCTCCTCCATGGTCAGGCCATCAATGACAAGCGGGTCTGGGGTGCTCATGCCATTGTTCAGGGAAGTGTCTTGAGACAGCACTGGAGACTCTCCCAACCAGGGTCTGGTGTTTGTGTTTGGGGTTAAAGACTTTCTGAAGGCTTCTTGACTTTGACTTGGCCCAAATATGGTCATCTCTTCAGGCGATACGGTAAGCAGAAGCTTGTTTTCCATTCTCTGGATTTTTATTGTGTCCTTCCAGTCTGAATTCACTTCTTTGAGAGGAATAATTGAGCCATTTGATTCACAAGATTGGACAAGGGTTGTGAACTCAGAGAGAGCTTTTTGAGGGCCTCCATTCATCGATCCTTCTTTAAACGTCACAAGCACTTCTGCCGTGATAGTAACTCCATTCTCTTTCGCAATACGTTCCATTTCCTTCTTGTGGATGTGGGTCACGTAGCAGAAATCGTTCACTGGGACAGGACAAGTGCACTCCTCTCCTTCTGTAGGGTCTGCTCTATGCTGCACCGAAGGTTGCTCTTCCTCCTGAAAAAAACAGCATACTAACTAAGTACAAAGCCATCATTTTGAATTCAATTCAGTCCTGCAGATTCACCACACAGTACGTACATCATGATGCTCTGACACGGATGAAGGAGGGACCTTTCCTGAAGCTTCCTCTGGTGCTTGTTTCTCAAACGGTGTCAAAGAAATAGCCGATATTGTGACCATTTTTCCATCTTTTGCCACCAGTTGTTGTCCACTTAGTTTCTGAAGCTCACTCAGCGCTTGAAAGGAAAAAGTAAGATTTCCCATAGAATTGGAGAAAATTATTCTATACTTAAAATCTAACATGTTATATTTAAATGTATAATGTTTAAATGTCATACTATACCTGGAGCAGGTTGAAGACTTATAACTGCAATCCTGTCTTCTAAGATATTCAACACATTGCAGTCTCCAGAGTATTTGTTGTTGTGATTGTTGGCCCAACTCTGAAGCATCTTCTCCAGTTCAACTTTATATTTCTGCCGGGGAAAACCCTCTGACCACTTGACTGAGAGAAAAACTTGACCTTCTTCTTTGTTCTATTATAAAGTGACAGAGCCAGAAAACATGTTACAGTTAATATAACTGCATAATGAAGCAAGATAGTACAAAATCATCAATGCCATTCATCTTAAAAGTCATTCATCTTAAAATAACTAACGTTATCTCTAGAGAAGTGTGGAAATAATCAATAGGAAGTGAATGACAACAACTGGCTGCTTTTATGTCATATTTTTGTGCATGTTGTGTATAAAGCATTGAGGTCATATACATCCATATGCTATTGGAGGTAATGTATTTATAAAATTAACTAACATTGCTTTAATTACGTTACAATTTGTAGAAACTAATAATAATTAAATGGATTGTTTCATTTTGGAGACTGCTTGTTTTAGACTACGTGGTCGTCGAAGGACCCGGCCCACGTCGACCTCCCTAAGGATGCAGCCAGTGGGACGGATTTAAGCCCTCACAGAGTCAGCGACTCAGCGGGGGCGAGTCTCCCGTGAGGGTCCAGTCCGTGAGGGTGGAGATTGTATGGAAGCCCATTTCCGCCACACACACAAAAAAAAGAAGGGCTAGAAAGTCGAAATTATGACTTAAGAAATGCGCATGCGCAGGCTCCTTCGTTGTTTGGTACATTGACTTTCCAAATCCTCTTGGCGACTTCTTGTCAAAAGCGACCAGCGACCTTACCTGGTATTATTGGAGACTTTTGTGGCGTCTGACGTGACGCAGTGACTGCAGTCAGAGCCCAGAGGAGACGTACGTCACGTCCGGACTGAAATCACCGCGCGCATGCGCAAAGCCGCCGCTGATTCTGCAGTGTCTTTCCTCATTGAGAAAGTAGCAACACTGGTTCAATAAAGAGAGAACTCTCATCAGGACTTTTCAATCGTTACTAATCACGATAACTACGGAATAACTACCACCCGGAACGTATTTTATCTCCCTAGAAGTTTGATTTATTTCGGACTCGGAAATATCGAAGATAATTTAGTCTCCCCTGAAAGTCGGACGTCCCCGTCGTCCCTGTTTGTTATGAGAGTGCACTCCACTATGCAAGTGTCCGTAGGACGTTTACAGTTCGGTAAAGTTGGCAAGATATTCACAGATTCGGACACAATCGACACCTCTGTGTGACCGTAGACCGCAGTCACCAACCAAATCATAATTTCGACTTTTTCGCTTATAATTTTGACTTTATTAAGTCATAATTTCGACTTTACAACCCTTCTTTTTTGTGGCGGAAATGGGCTTCCATAGATTGTGATCGGTTACCGGGATATTCGTTTTTATTGAACACGTCACGTCTCACACGACACTTAACTTACCTCAGCCAACTTGTCATGAGGCTGCTGGCATGCGTCAGTAACCTACAAGAGGTTCAAATATAAGACATTTGCAATTGCATTTCATTTTAACTCCACTCACTCACTTGTATATATTCACACAAAATATCACAGCTCCCTAAATAGCTTTTTGCTCGACATAAGCTGACTCACCTCCATGGGCTCATCTTGGTTACTGCATGCCATTTTGAGTCTTCTTCCTTCAACACAAACCAAAACAATGGTGACAGAGTCCCTGTATGTTGTCCCACTGAACTAGTTTCATCGACTACCAATAATGCGTGTAATATATATCCTTGTAAAAAAGGGTCGAATGTGAAAACTATAAATAACTTGTAGGTACTGTTCCACTCCACTTTCGTTTACGTTGCGCGTAAGCTAGCCGGTTGTACATTTGCCTGAAATTATTCTTATTTCACTCATCGTTTTGTCACAAACGTTACATTAACGTTCAGACTCTCCATACAGCACGTAATATATGAATGTATGACGCATATGAATCGACTAACCTTCACCAGGCTCCCAACTTTCAACGCTGCTTCTTCCTGATAATTGAAAGCGAAAGTGGCTCCGCGAGACGAGAACAGTGACGTCACAGTGTGGGGAGCGAGGGAAGAGGAGGACTTTTCATTAAGAGATGTCCCTGCAGCTGCGGACTTTTCACTAAGAGATGTCCCTGCAGCCGCGGACTTTTCACTAAGAGATGTCCCTGCAGCTGAGGACTTTTCACTAAGAGATGTCCCTGCAGCTGAGGACTTTTACTAAGAGATGTCCCTGCAGCCGCGGACTTTTCACTAAGAGATGTCCCTGCAGCTGAGGACTTTTACTAAGAGATGTCCCTGCAGCTGAGGACTTTTCGCTGAGAGATGTCCCTGCAGCTGAGGACTTTTCACTAAGAGATGTCCCTGCAGCTGAGGACTTTTCACTAAGAGATGTCCCTGCAGCTGAGGACTTTTCGCTGAGAGATGTCCCTGCAGCTGAGGACTTTTCACTAAGAGATGTCCCTGCAGCTGTGGACTTTTCTCTTACAGTACGTGAGGTTGTCGGTGTGTTGGATTTGGGGTACGTTTAGGTTTCGGGCTGTGAGCTGTTGCATCGCAGAAGCAATTCTTTCTTGGTGCAATTCTTTCTTCCGTACCATCTAATTGGCAAAACAAGACAAAACCCCACATTCTGTGTAACATCACAAATATGATTACTCAACTCAAGTCCAGCTTTTGTGGATAAAACTGTTAAAGAAAAATAGATGTGCCAATTCGGTTTATTTTTGTCATACCAGCTTTCAACACAAAATCTTTGCAGATTTACAGAGAATCAAACATCACATAACTGAAGTAGGTGTAACTAACACGTGATATACACAAAATCAAACATCACATAACTGAAGTAGGTGTAACTAATACGTGATATACACAAAATCAAACATCAAATAACTGTCAAGTAGGTGTGTCTTAAAAAACAATTAGATATAAAATTTCAAAAGCAATTTAAAAGATCGCAATGCGCTGTGAAATATAGAATAACGTCAAAGTAAGCCTGACAAAACAGAACCAACAAAATTGCACTCCAGATAAGATAATCATTATCACACTAAGAAAAGCAAACAAAACAATATAATGTGACTTTATTCTTTCTAAATCCGTTCATCCTTCACTTGCTTCACATATTCTTCAAACTACTATCTCTTCATATAGTAAATAACCTTCAATCAATTTGAACTATCAGCCTTTCCTTGTCAACTAAGCTACATCAGCCTACTTGTCTTTGGTGAGCTTCTTGATATATATCTGAATATACAGTGCAGTTCAATTCTATTCTACGTGGTAATACACGGGGAGCCGTGTGAATACAGGTAAGGCTGAATGCAGCGATGGGAAGGAGAAGGCATCAGTGTGGGAAGGAGAAGGCATCATCGTGGGAAGGAGAAGGCATCATTGTGAGCTGCAGCAGTGGTAAAGCGCCAGGTTGAGTGGTGATATTGTCATTGTACAATCGGGAGCATACAACTATTCGGCTTCAACTTTCAGCGTAAACCTGAAATGAAAAGAGGGACAGGGACGAGTGAAAACTGACTATGAATTAAATCATAAGCAATCATTTAATGGTCATTGTAAAAGAAGAAAAAAGGCCCACGGTTAAGAGATACTAGGCAGAAATTTCTCCTGAACGATAACCAACTTGTCTGCTATCTATATATGTGGTGCACACTCAATATATTACACATTGTGACAGTTTCTTTGAAGTAAAATATACTTCTTTATCTTCATCAAAGCTCCACAGGAGGCAGTGTGGTCAATTTAGTGAAATATTGTTTAACTGAGCATATGGATGGGTTGCGTCAGCATGCAAGGAGAGGCTCACGTGTTACTCCAAGCTGACCACAGTCCCCGTCCTCTGTCTGAGGAAACTGACCGTTTTTCAGTCCCCTCTAAATAAGAGTATCACATGAACAAACTTTCTCACAGTCTACTCTGCTCACCATGCTGTAACACCAGAAACCAGGTCGACGTGGGCCAACTCGATCTGCACCTAAAGAATACAAATGACACGTCAACATTAAGCTGTACGTACATCTTTTTAAAAGAAAATTTGAAAATCACAATTCCAAACATTTATATTAGGGCTGTCAACGAATATTCTATATTCAAATATATATTTGAATACTTGTTAAAAACCTACGCGCCTGACTACTGACTATATATTGCATGAATAAAACAGACTACAACAGTTTCATGCACTGGTTTGCTCATTTGCTGTTTCATGCCAAAGAAAAGTTCCATGTTTACGTGCACAGCTCGCTCAGAGCGCTCAATGTCGGTACGGTAAAACTTCCATTCATGTTAATAATATTTGTCAATCACTGAATGAAGCCTGCCATATTTGGGACAAGAATCGTGACCTTAAATTGCTTGCACAAAACTCTTGATCAGCACTCTATTGTTGTCGTTCATTTAAACTGCTATGCGCGACGATGCGGGGGAGGGAGGGAGGGAGGAAGAGGGAGAGAGAGAGAGAGGTCTGCGTTCTTGGCCATTAGTTCATTTACTTATTTTTGTCTAGGTAATATGTTGTTGAATATGTTTAAACTTAAATAAATTACCTATACAAGTAGTTATGTCTAGTTGTATTAATTTTTCCTGTTATTGACATAATGCGCAACCAGATAGTCGAATATATGTGTTTTTTTAAAGCAAATATTTGAACATCATTTTTGAGCAATTTTGACAGCCCTAATTTATACATTCCTAGACATCGTGACATTAGTGAACCTCTTGGGCACATCTGTACAGGTTTAGATTTAACAAAATCATCTTGCGAGCTGAGGAGGAGTCACATCCAGTATGACATTATTTGGAAACCCTGATGGTCACTTGTAAGCCTCGAGGTCTCAGACTGACCTGTCCAATGATGTCTCGGCTCCTGAATGAGGCTGAATTATTCTTCACAGATAGAATGAGGCGTTTGAACCTCATCTCATCCACAGACAGCTCATACTCAAACCTTAAACAAAATCAACAAAGATGATTAAATGTGTCTGCTGACACTAACAAATCTTTGAGAGATAGATAAAAACAACACAGGAATGTAATGATAATACAACTACTTAATTATTTAGTTACCTCTCATTGTATTCTGGGTTGAGGTCTCTTTTCTTCACTGCTGTCTTCCTCTTGGTGGCTTTGCTTTTGTCTGGCAGCAGCATAAGGGAAACATAGCTGTCTACTCCATCCTTACTTTGAGACAACAGACCTCTGTATGCATAAAGAGAAACAGCGTTAAGACCATTTAGAAGTTCTAGTGTATTTGCGCAATGTTCCAATGTTACTATAAACATAATGTCTGGGAAGTAAACTAGATACAAAACCTGACTTGGAAAAAATACCACGAGGAAGGCTAAAATAACTACAATTTCAATTGTTTATCATTGGTGAGAACACAATCTGACTAAAACACACACGGATGAGGAAGCACACCTGCAGGCATGGACGATGACAGTGAGGTGTCTCTCCTGCAAGGCATAAGAAAGAGACAACTTCACCTGCCCACAGCCAGAGGCAACACACGGCAGTGTCCCCGGACCGATCATATCCACCATTTTGGAATGTAGAACCTATTGAATAGGAAGTTACATTGTTTATTTGTTGTAATGTATTACTATATGTGTGTGTGTTTGAGGGCGGATGTGTTTGTCACCTTGAGTTCCGCCCTCAGCAGGATTTGACTATCAGGGGTGGCTCCATCCAGGTGGAACCACTGGTCCAGGACCAGGTGTGGCTCTGCAAGCAGCTCATTCACAGGAATCACCAGTGATCCCATTGGCTGATCCCAACCACTGGACAACTGCAATGGCAGAAAGAAAGGGACTCAATAACTCACTTCAACGCGAGGTGAAAGGTGAAATGCAGAATCAAAGTAAAAAATAGTCTTGCCTTTACTACAAGCATCTGATCTTTAGGGTTGTGCACCAGGAAGTAAAAACACTCATTCCACTGAGGATTGGTGCTGCGCTCGCACAGCTTAAGAGATGAAAATATTAGAGGTGTTACAAAAAGAATGCATCTATCAGACCGACAATAGAGCGCCATGCAAAAAAAAGTCTCACTTTGGTTTTGTAGGTTGTTTCACCCAAAACAAGTTCAGCTCCTGCTTTGGGATCTTTTCCACTCTTCTTCAACTATAAACAGAGACAGAAGCATTTGTGTTTTATCATACGAGAAATCATTTATTGTTACTGTGTAGTATGTAAATAACAACCGGGGACTTACAGGTAATGAATGCGCTCTCTCCAAGTGGACAAAAAGGAGGGCAGCGGCGGGGACAGCTTTGTTTTGGTAGGACTGGAGAGATTGAAGCTGCAGCACCTGCGGCACGGCGCAAGGCAGAGTATTATTTTGCAGTGTGAAGAATGTGTCCTGCGTGTTGGAATGTGACTCCACAGCATTATCTAAAAGTCTGCTTTGTTATGGACACGCGAATAGTGCTTGTTTAAGGAGATTCAACAACGGGTGATAGGGCTGTAAACACAAGTAAGGACCAACCTGGTCAAGTCTGACTGAATGTGACACTGTAGGAACCCATTCCAGTATCAAGTGAACCCGACCAGACTTCACATCATTCAGAGTGTACCACTACAACAGAGACAAGGAAAGAGGAAGGGCACCGCCCTTTGTGTAAGGAAATGACAGAGTTCAGGGTTAAG